CTAACAGCCCAACTATGTGTCAAATTTATGTTAACAAAGTAATCCAGCCACTTAGAAATCAAAATCCTGAACTACAAATATTTCACTATATGGATGATGTATTATTAGCACACGAAGATAAAAACACATTGCTAGAATGTTATGCCACACTTACAAACTTATTAAAAAATTATAATCTAGAGATAGCAATAGATAAAGTACAATTAAATTTTCCAATTAATTATTTAGGAGTTCTATTATCCTCAACCATGGTCCGTCCACCAAAAATTCAAATACGAGTAGATCAACTCAAATCACTTAATGACTTTCAAAAGTTATTAGGAGACATAAATTGGATAAGGCCTTATTTAGGTATACCAACAGGAGAGTTGGGACCTTTATTTGATATCCTAAAAGGTCCATCAGATCCAAATTCACCCCGAATGTTAACGCCTGAAGCAAGAAAGGCATTAAAAATCATTGAAACATATATGGAAAATATGCATTTGGATAGAATTGATATAAGTTTGCCTTTATTATTTATTGTACTACCAACAAAAAATATTCCTACAGGAGTATTTTGGCAAGAAGGTCCATTATTATGGATACATTTATCTTATTCTCCTAACACTATTCTTACTAGGTATCCTGAGGCTGTAGGACAATTAATACTCAAAGGAATAAAAGCAGCAAAGGGAGTGTTTGGAATTTCTCCCAATAAAATTATTACTCCATATACTATGAATCAAATTGATGAGTTAGCTAATGAGTTAAATACTTGGGCAATAATCATGTGCAAATCTAATGTTTCATTTGATAACCACTTACCATCTAATCCTTTATTGTCTTTTTGGTCATTGCATCCTGTAATTTTTCCAAAAATGACAAGAAAAACACCTATCATGAATGCTCCAAATATATTCACTGATGGGTCAAATAATGGTACAGCAGCAGTAGTTACCCCTGATCAAACTTTTACATTTTTAGTACCCAAACAATCAGCTCAAAAGGTAGAGCTTAATGCAGTTTTACAAGCTTTTGTGATGTTTAAAGATTCTGTATTTAATTTATTTTCTGATAGTCAGTATGTAGTTAATGCTATAGTATCTCTTGAAGATGCTGGTAGGATTTCCCCTTCTTCTACTGTTTTCTCTTTGCTTTCCACTATACAAAGTCTAATCTGGGACAGAAAAGATCCATTCTTTATAGGACATATCAGGGCACATACAGGATTGCCTGGAGCCCTTAGTTTGGGCAATGATTTAGCAGATAAAACTACACATGACATACATATTTTCTCTACACTAGAAGAAGCTATAAATTTTCATAAAAAGTTCCATGTCAATGCTAATACTTTACAAAAGCGTTTTAAAATAACTAAGGAACAAGCTAGACAAATAATAAAACAATGTCAAAATTGTGTGACCTTTTTACCACAAGTTAATCTTGGAGTCAATCCTAGAGGATTGATACCTAACCATATTTGGCAGATGGACGTCACACACTTGCCAGAATTTGGAAAATTAAAATATTTGCATGTTACAGTTGATACTTCTTCTGGATTTTTGATGGGCTCCCTTCACGCCGGAGAAAAAACTAAAGATGTTATAGCTCATTGCTTACAAAATTTTGCCACTGTGGGTGTTCCAAAACAGTTAAAAACAGATAATGCCCCTGGTTATACTTCTACCTCTTTTAAACAATTTTGCTCAACATTTGGCATTACTCATATAACAGGAATCCCATACAATCCACAGGGACAAGGCATAGTTGAAAGAGCTCATCAAACTATTAAAATGTACTTATTAAAGCAAAAAGAAGGAATTGGGAAGGGGTATATATTCCCCAAAGATAAACTTAAAATAACCCTTTTTACTCTAAACTTTTTAAATTTGGATTCATCAGGACTTAGTGCTGCAGAAAGGCATATGTGTCCAAAAAATGTACATAAGCCCAAGGTACTTTGGAAGGATATTCTAACAGGACAATGGAAAGGTCCTGACCCAGTAATTGTCTGGAGTCGGGGGTCTGTTTGTGTGTTTCCACAGGGAGAACAGCAGCCGATTTGGATTCCAGAGAGATTAACCAAGGTCCTGACCCAGTGATTGTCTGGAGTCGGGGCTCTGTTTATGTGTTTCCACAGGGAGAACAGCAGCCGATTTGGATTCCAGAAAGATTAACTAAAGCGATTTCTACAGACCAAAAAGAAGATGATTTGGCTCAAATCCATAACAACTGATATCCAAAACTCCAGTTTGGCTATTCTTACATCTGCAACAGAACCAGGATGCTTTTTTCAATATCTATTTTATTATTGCCCTTTGCCATATCATGAAGTTCTATTTTGTTTTTTGAGCTCATACAGACCTAGGTTAATGTTTTGCTGATCAGTTCTATTTTTTGACTATAGAGTTTTTAAACATTGCAATGGAGATTTCACCTGTAAAAAGTTATAAGGCCTTTACTATAATGTTATGTGTTGTATGTATTATATTATGTATGCACACTTGTGTTTTGTGTTATATGTTTGAATGTACGTATGTCCATATATCATATATGATGAGCGCTCATGATAAAATGGATCCAAATATTTTTTTTTCACGTGATTTATATGGTTTAATTTAAATTGGGTAAACAACTGTTGAGGATTGTTTTAATATGTAAACAAAAAAGAAGGTTAACAGATCTGTTTGTTTACTTTCACCTTTCCTTTTCATTATATTTAATAATTCTCTTAAAGATAATGTAAATTGTTAAGAAAATTGTTTTCTTTTAGTGCCTTCTGTAATGTTACATAATTTTTTCTTTAGCCATTATTGCCAGAATTCCTATCTTCATCCCAGTGCCGGTGAAGACAATGTAAATTGTTAAGAAAATTGTTTTCTTTTAGTGCCTTCTGTAATGTTACATAATTTTTTCTTTAGCCATTATTGCCAGAATTCCTATCTTCATCCCAGTGCTGGTGAAGTCAAAGATAAAACCAATCTACAGCTTCTACAATAGCCATCACTGAACTGCTTGCAGAACTTGCCTGGACACACTGTGAGCTCACCTGTATGCATTGTGAACTATCTGTTGGTGCAGTGACTTGTGGTAGTGTTGGGGTATTTTTGCTGATGATGTCACCGGTGGTACAATTTTTCAAAGGAGCCCTCAATTGGCTTAATGTCATGGCATTTTGCATCCTCCTCTACTAGTGATGGTCTAAAATTTGGGGGCCAACAGAGGTGAGGCAAAGAACCTCACCCCCCCACTGGTGCAAAGGCCTATCCACAAGTATGGCTGTATGCTGGACCGGTAGTCAGTGACGGGTATGATCCAATTGCAGTGGTACCAACCTAAGACAGGAGGCTGACGCCTAGAGGTCAGTTCATCCGATGACGGGTAAGGACCATATGTTGAATTGGACTGCCTAACAGGCACGGTCCCTAAGCCACATGCTTGTTGTTTAAACAGAGAGGGGGAGATGTTGAGAGCCACAGCCAAAGGGGCCCCAGCAAACTTCCAGCTGCCAGCAAACTTCCAGCTGCTGGCTGATGATTGGCTCACAGCGGCCCCAGCAACATCTAGCTGATTGGCTCCTCGGCCCCAGCAACATCTAGCTGATTGGCTCCTCTGCGGTGATGCTCATTGGACTGTTTCCCTGCCCTTTCAGACCACGGAGCTGCTCATTGGGGGACTTTTTTGGCTCCGCCCACGTGACCCAGCCAATCGGCCTCAAGAGCAGGAGGATTGTGGGAGGTGGAGAGAAGCTTGTGTGGGAGAGAGAGGCTTGGGGAAAGCTGCCAGCAATTATCTTTTTTCCTAATCTTTAATACACACAATTTAAATATATACAGTTGCTTTAACATTTTATATAATTCCTATGTACTGGAGCAATAACAAGGTCTAATTTTGTCCCAAGCTTCTAAAGTTATTTCCTTCAATTGCTCATGAATCTCAGGAGGAATATTAATTTGATGTTGAATGTCATCATACATACCAGTGCCAGATAACATAGGGTATCCTATGGCACGAATAACAGGGTTTTGACTGTTACCATTTTCTCTAGCCTTAGTGGCACATCTTTCTAAAAACCACATGTGCCATTGAAGATATTCAGGTTCCTGTAAAAGAGCACGGCTCACAATCTTCCAATCCTCAGGAGCAAAATTATTGTAATGAGTAGCAAAAGCATTAAGCAATGCTTTTACATAATGAGATTGAGGTCCGTACATTGTCACTGCCTTTTTTAATCTGCTAATATGATCAATATCAATCCCCTCATACCGAGGTGGATGTGCCATTCCATTAGCTGGATCAGGCCTGATTATAGGAAAAGTAAAGAAAGGAGTTTCGTCCTCATCGTCAGAAGGTTCTGAGTCCATTTCCTGGACAGCCTTTAAAGAAGCTGCCAAAAAAGGATTGGTGGCTGGAGGGACAGAGGGCCTGGTTCCTGATAAAGGCTTAGGGTTTATTTTAGCTTCTAATTTATTAAGATGTCCCAAAACCTCCTCCATAACAAGTTTGAATTGCTCCGAAACGGAGCGATCATCAATCATCGTTTTTACTTTCGTTTTCTTTTCCGTAGCAGTACCAATTAAATCAGCAGAATTTTGTGAAGAATTATGAGTCAATTGTTGCATATCTTTTACTATCTCTTCTTTTTCACTAACATCCAGAGGGAGATCTAGAATAGAGGGAGCTAACTCCTTTTGTAAGTTGCCAATCAACCTTTCTTCCTCCATAGCTTTAAACATTGTATATAAAATAGACCAGATAGACCAAAACCGAATTGGAATTTTTTCACCTTGCCTCATGGCCTTTTCAACATTGTGACGGACCCATTTCCAATTATCTACATCCATAGATCCTTCCTCCGGGAACCAGGGATTCCATTCCCTGACCAGCTTAAGACACATCTCTATATCAGAATGGGAAATGTTAATACCATAGACAGCAAGTGAATGCCTAAGAATACGTAAAAAAGGAGAAGATGAAGATTGTCCCATCACCCTGTAATATAAAGAAAAATAACTTACCCTTCCTGACAATCCAACAGGGTCCCTGTTCGGGCGCCAATTGTGAACATCTAGAGCGTTCAGGTCCCTGGGTAAGGGTCGCGAAATAACCAGGACACAGGGGATGCAGAGCCAAGGCAGCAATCACAACTGCATGCTGAAGTTTATTTGCAAGTTCCTTTTATACACTTCTTCTAACAAAGCAAGCAATTCTTCAATAACACTTTACCCACATTGTCCAAATATCATGCCTCAGTGGATACACAGAGCTAGATTCAAATTGTTCCTGTTTGTTTGATAAGTACCCTCCTAAAGTTCTTTGTAGACATTATCTACTCCTCTGAGGATGCATTTGTTTCTTCAGAATGTACTGTTCCCAGGATAAGTATGCAGGAAGCTTCTTCCTCTTGGCCAAACCATGCAGAACTTGTGACTTGCGATAAGGGGAAGAGAACTTTTCCTCCTCCTAGCTGAGGTTTGCCTCAGCTGACCTAAATCACAGCCACAGCTCTTGCAAAATGTCAGGCCTGAGGGAGCTAAACTCTGCACACTTAAACCCCAACAATTACTGTTTGAAGTTTGCCAGAACTGGCTTCCGCCTTCTGCAGTCTTCAACAATCTGATCTGAACTCCTCCTTCACAGTAGACAGGGGAGTTTTGACCCAAGTTGGTCCTTTCAGGAACTGTCATGGCAACCATCTCATTGAGCTCAGCTTGCTCTGCAAGTCAATACTATGTTTCACTGGGCAAACTTTATCTTATTGTGCCTTTATTACTAATGAAATTTCCCTTCTGATTTACCCTGAGAAATCTATGGGTCCTGAATTCTACCTAAACAACAACCCCAGTAGACCCTGTCAGCCGTTAGCCCCATTGATCTTTCTTTCTTGAAGTATTTCATAATTGGCTAGCTTTGTTTCTGTTTGTTTTTAGAGTTAGCGCCACTGATGGTTTTTGTACAAGTTACTGAATCATTCATTAGTCTCAGAAGCAACTTAAAGAAACCCGGTGACCAGGATCACATTTCACGGCTCGTTTGTAACTACTACCTAACATGATTAAACTGACAGCAGAATTCGCGAGGAAGGGGTTGAGGCAGGGCAGGGGAGAATAGAGGTACTTTGGATTAGACAAGGTGGATTGAAGAGAGGGAAGGGGATCTGGGGTAGGAATGATAATAGAATGAATCGGACACTATTACCCTATGTGCATATAGGATTACTGGATCTGTGTAACTCTACATCATGCACAACCAGAAGATCGAGAAGTTACACCCCATCTATGTAGGATGCGTTAAAAGGCAATCTGCTATGTATAACTAATTAGAACAAAATTTTTAAAGACGGTGGGGAGGTGGGAAAGAATAACTATAGAAAACAAAATTGACTTAGCAGAAGTCTTGCTAAGATTGGACAACAAAGCCATGAGCACAGAAGTCCAAAAGCGGAAAGCTGCCCTGTTGTGGAAATCACACTCAGCAAGAGACCAGGCATCGCTGGGAGGGCTGCAGAACTCAGGTTTATTACTCCCGTGGACGCAGATGAGCTAGAGCTCTGAGACCCTGAGACAGGATTTTTATAGGGCAGTTCAGGAGATCAGGTTTGCAAGGGTGGTACTGGTTGCTCATAGGTGGGTTTGAAATTGGAGGTTGCTCAAGAAAGAACAGTAGATAGATAGGACAGGGCAAGAATTATTGTGCAGGAATTCTTGGGATAAGCAATTGACCCAAGCAGAACAAAGGCAGAAACTATCTGCAAGTGGTATCGGGAAGTGGCCTTTATCACAGGCAGCAGTTTCTCAAGATAATCACAGACTTACCCTACTAAGAACTGGCATTCAAACGTAGAAATATCACAATTTAAACCAGTATACTCTTGAGACCAATAATTAAGTAACACTCTTACAAAAACCAAAGCTTATTACAAGGTAATATTTCCCTCTTCAACTTGAAAAAAGGATCAAGGAGTGTGAGTTGTCCAGGAGAGAATGGTGGTACAGAATCATGGGTCAGTTACAGTATTCTGTTTCTTCCAAACCCAGTTCACTTAAATTAAATATTCTTTTTGGGGGGAGGAGGGAGGCGGGTACCTGGGATTAAACTCAAGGGCACTTGACCACTGAGCCCATCCCCAGCCATTTTTTGTATTTTATTTTGAGACCATGTCCCCCTGCTTTGCTTAGCGCCTCACTAAGTTGCTGAGGCTGGCTTTGAACTTGAAATCCTCCTGCCTCAGCCTCTGGAGCCACTGGATTACAGGCCTAAGCCACTGAACCAGGCTCTCGAATATTCTTCACATGACTTTTCCTGACATTCTTGCTTCTGTTTAAGTAACTTATTTTATGTTTTGTCCGGCAGGTAGTTGGGGAAATAACTCTGGCAGGGAAAGACGTTCCACACCAATATGAGAACAGTGTTACTTACATGCATGGACGTGAAGGCAGCAGAAAGTGACTGCAAAGTCTGAACAGAATTTTATATAGAAAGTGGCAAAGAGAATAATTAAAACATCTCTTAACTCTGTGACTGTGTCCCAGGTGGGATTTCTAGGACAGCCTTGGAAGGATGTGTCTACAGTTACAAGAATACAAAGTCCACAATTTGCATTGTGTAATCAAGAGGCTAGAACTCTGTGGTTTTCCTTCAGCACTGAGGATGGAACAAAGGGGCACTCTGTCAATGAGCTAAATGCCAGCTCTTTTTATTTTGCGACAGGGTCTCACTCAGTTGTCCAGGCTAGCCTCAGACTTGCCAAAGTGACCTTGTACTTCCAACCCTCCTGCCACAACCTCTCAAGTAGTTCAGAAAACAGGCATGTGCCACTGGCACACAGGCACACCCCCACAGAGCCGAACCTCTTGATGCATCTCCTTGGGAGGAAAGGGAGGGGAGGCAATCACCTCCGTCCCCATCCTCTTGACTCACGGGAAAGCTTGCTCCGCTCACCCTCACTGTGTGGTACTCCCAAGCCATCTTCTCCCTGGGTTTCCAAACACCCCACTCAGACCTGAATCAAGAAAGTTACCCAGGGCAAATATAGGAATAGAAAGAAGGTCAGGAAGGACTGAGGGGACCTGTACATGTCATCAGTGCGCAGAGTACAAGGTCCTTGCTTAGGATCTGGGCGGTCATCGGCCATCATAAGTGACAGCCACTTTTTTTTTTTTTTTGAGAGAGAGAGAGAGATAATTTTTTAAAAATTTTTTTTAGTCATTGCTGGACCTTTATTTAATTTATTTATTTGTATGTGGTGCTGCCGCGTCCGGCCAAGGGAGCCGAGTCCGGCGAGGGACGGCGAGGTTAAAAGACACACAGGACACCAAGGTTCTTCATCCAGGAGTCAATAATCTTTATTGCTAACACACCTTTTTTTATACCCCAAGCAGCAGAAGTGGAAAACTACCCAAAAGCAGGAGGGAGGGGGGAGAAATTTAGTTTCAACATCTATTATTGTCAGGTACCGAAACCTCCCTTAACAATAAGTCCATCAGACCAGAAAAGGTCAAGGCATTCCCGTGGGATACATATGTCTCAGACGGATAAGCAGGAACAGAAAAACCGCAAGTTCGCCATGGCCTTGTGAGCTGGCCACACTGGCATGCAGAACAAACTAGTGGAGGTAGGGCTCCAGGGGCCAAGGTGGACCTGTTGCCAACAAGTCCCCCTCTTTTGTTTTTTGCATGCCAGTGGGAATCAAGTAGCCCCTGTCTTAGGTCGTTCACAGCCCTTGCGATGCTTACCCGTCTCTGGGAAGGCCCCGATTCCCTGGCTTAGGTCGCACAGCAAGCGTGAAAGTTGCCCGTCACTGGGTACTACAAGATCAGCTCAAGGTGTTATGACCTATCAAGACATTATTGCGGTGAACGCTTAACCGTCTCCACCCACGGGACCCATGACCATCACCACCGAATGGCAGATGTGATTGGACCGAGAGATTAGACAGCAAAGATCCTAGTACAGGAAGGCAAGAGGGAGAGGTATGCATAGAGAAAATATATGACAGGAGTTCTTCTTTTAAGGAGGACACTCATCTTCGGATAGGTCTGAAGTATATCTCAGAGAGGCGATCATCCATCTTCAAGCGTTGATAGTGAACCTGTATTGGCTTAGAGGCTAAGATATTAATTTGATCCTTAATGAATTGTACTATCTTATTTACAATGCAGGGTCCTATTGCCACTACTAGAAGGAGGCCTAACAATGGTCCCAATAAGGGAAGAAGATAAGGCAAAAATCCATTAAGTCCAGTCCAGAGAGGGTTCTCAAATAATTCCCTCCTCCTTTTTTCTAGGTCTTCTTGGAGTTGTTTAATTTTTGTGCGAACTATGCCAGATTTGTTAGCATAAAAACAGCACCTCTCCCCAAGGGCTAAACAAATTCCCCCTTGATTGGCAGTAAGCAAGTCTAAACCCCACCTGTTCTGAAGAACTACTTCTGCTAGGGAGTCTATCTGGTCTTGAACTAATAGGGAAGCGGCCTGTAATTTGTCCTTAGTTAGGGGCCACTGTTCTACCCACACAGGGTCATCTGATAACCAAGTAATGGACAGTGGAGGTGGCCGCACTTCAGTGGCCCCTAGGATAAATTTCCCAGTCCTCTCCGGTCTCTTCCCCGCCGGGTAACCTGTTCTGCTGGATCCACGGGTGATATTCTGCCCTCATGTCTCTTTCCTAGTCCCCTTCCAGGGATCCATCCCATGTCTAGCATTGCATCATTAACAAAGTCATTATTTCCTTTCAAAGTCTGGGTAGTGAGAATAGCCCCCATTTGATGAAGCAAGTCCCTCCCCCAAAGGTTCGTGGGGAGTCCAGTCACCACATAGGGCTGGAAATGGCCACTATGTCCTTCGCCATCTCTCCATTTTAAAAAGGAGGCACTTCTTTTTGGTCGGGTCTGTCCTATCCCCTGTAATATGGCCGAGGGACTCTGGAGGGGCCAGGCAGGTGGCCATTGTTTTTCAGAAATGACAGAGACATCCGCCCCCGTATCTAGTATTCCCTTGAAAGCCTTGTCCTGTATCTCAATGGTCAGGTTGGGACGCGAATCCAAATGAGCTACCCAAAAGGCCTGGGGAGTTCCAGTGGAGCCAAAGCTGCTGTCGCCCCGGAACCCACGGAGGGTGTGCCCAGGAATGGAAGCTAAAGGTAGCAGCAGCAATTGAGCTATACGCTCCCCGGGGGGAAGAATAACAATTCCTTGGGTAGCTTCTACTACTATTTTTATTTCTCCCTGATAATCAGCATCAACAACCCCCGTAAGAATCTTCAAGCCCCACTGAGTTGCGCTACCTCGTCCCAACACTAGTCCCACCGTCCTCTCTGGCAGGGGTCCAAAAACCCCAGTAGGCAGCGTCTGAGGTCCCATTTGGGGAGTTAATACCGCTCGGGAGGTGGAACTGAGGTCCAGTCCTGCGCTTCCTGGTGTTCCCCTGGGGAGTTCCCAGATAGAAAGGGGTTGGTCAGTGGGAGGCGGCGGAGACGCCCACTCCCTGGGGCACTGTTCTGTCCCTGCACTGCCCCGTACACTTTGGCTTCCGGGGCCCGGGGCAGGCCCCTGCTCCCGT